GATTTCTAAAAAAATCTCTATACCAATCAACCCCTTATTTTAAAATTTATACTTATATTATTTTTTATTTAGAGTAAAGCCTTTTTTGGATCGCTAATAAAAAATACGGTCCTCACTTTAGTCCCTTATAAAAAAATTAGTCGTCTGATCCCTATGAAATTCAAAGTGGACCCATATTAGTCCTTTTGAGGGACTAATGTAGATCTTGTTTGAATTAGCGAGGGATCACGATTTCAACTAAATGAGTCCACTTTAAATTTCTTAGGGACCTCGAGACTAATTTTTTTTATAAGAGACTTAAGTGAGGATTATATTTTTTTGTTAGGGACCCAACAAAGGCTTTGCTCTGTTATTTATTTAAAGGAGAACCAATCCTGCAGTGCAGCCTACGGGTAAGTCTTAAACTTATAAAGCAATGTTATTAAAATCGGCTCGGTCATTGACATGGTCGATGTACTGGGTCAGTGGGTCACTGGTTCAACCACATGACTCGATAATTATATGTAATTTTATAAATTATATTAAAAAATTATAAACATACTCAAATATCTAAAAAAATGATAAAAATTTCAAATATTTTAACATAAAAAATAATAAATCACATATTATTATCCAATAAAGGATCAAACAAAAATATAATGATCATGATATGAGGCTTTAGGTTCAGAAAATGACATCTCTAGCTATAAATCAAATCAAAATTTTCTGCATAGTGCATAATTGAGATAATATTAGTGTTGTAGGTACATAATTTATGTAAGTTAATAAGTAAAAAATAATTCAAATTTTTCCATTATGATTTTTTTTTTTGAAAAAAAAAAATTTGAATTTTTTTTTGGGACCGAGCCGGGTCACCGGTTAACCAATCGGGTCACCGATTTTCATGAAAACTGATCGGGTCGGATCGATTCTGATGCATGGCCAGTCCGTTGCTTCAACTGAACTGGTTATATGACCAGTTTATCGATTCCCAGATCAACCCGGCCCTATGTTCCGATTTTATTAACACTGTTATAAAGTACTTCACGAGAAAGAAAGAAAGAAAAAAAAAAGGGAGATAAGAAAGACGCTAGAGTTATTCCTTTTTTAGCACCTGACACTATTTTTGTTTAAAATTATATTTAGATTTCCCTCTTTTATAAATAATTTCTTTTTATTTTAGAGAAGAGTATACTTAGAATCTCTTATAACTACATTTAAGATTATTAAATCAAAATCAAAATCAAATTAACGGCTCTTATTTAATGTCATATGGTAATCACTTATTTGATATTGATTCAATAATCATAAAAGTGGTTGTGAGAATTTTTTTTTATATAAATATAACTTCTTCTTTTTTTATATATAATAAAGTAAAATATATAAGTATAATTTTACGTACAAAAGAAATGACCGATGTAATGAACACAACCTTCAAAAGGGAAGTTTATTTATTTATTTATTTAAGAGTAAAGCTTCTTTTGGGTTTCTAACAAAAATACGGTCCCCACTTTAGTCTTTTATAAAAAAAAATTAGTTCCAAGATTCCTAAGAAATTTAAAGTGGCCCCTTTTAGTTGAAATCGTAGTCTCTGACAAATTCAAAAAAAATCCACATTAATTCCTCAAAAAGACTAAAATGGGTCCACTTTGAATTTTATAAGAATCAGACGGCTAATTTTTTTTTAAGGGACTAAAGTAAGGACCTTATTTTTTGTTAGGGACCCAAAAGATGTTTTGCTCCTTATTTAAACTCCACTTTCTTTATCTTATATATTCAAAATATGTTTTACCGCACACTTATTCGGAGAATTCCAAAATATATCATGAAATTAATTATTTAATAATGGATTATATTTGATTATAAAATATTATTAATTAACGTGATAATATAAATGTAATTTTTATTCCACGTTGTAGTTAAATTAATGTACTTTTTAGAATAAAAATAATATTTACTCTTTAAAATATTAAATTTTACTTGTTCGGAATAAAAAAAAGAAGAGTTTGTTAAAATGAGTACTTTTATTATCTCAATATTTAAAAAAAGTGGTATAAGAAAAATATAATTTTCTTGTGTGAAAATATTATTACTTTTAGAATATATAAAAAATAAGTTCAATGATCGGATGACATTATTATGTTTTAATTAAGGGTTTGATATTCGGATTCACGGGTTATGTTTGGGATATGAATTCAAGATGAAATTAATTTGGAGAATTTCCAAATATATTATGAAATTATTTATTTAAAATGGATTATATTTAATAGTAAAATATTATAAAATTAACCTAATAATATAAATCTAATTTTTATTCCATTTGGTATGTTTTAGTTAAATTAATGTATTCTTTAGAATAAAAATAATATTCACTCATTAAAATATTACATTTTACTTGTTCGGAATAAAAAAAAAAACAGTGTGCTAAAATGTGTATTTTTATTATTATATTGATATTTAAAAAAAGTGATACAAGAAAAACATAATTTTTCATATACAAATATTATTGTCTTTAGAATGTATAAAAAATAACTTCAACGATTCGATGAAATCATTATGTTTTAATTAGGGGTTTGATATTTGGGTTAACGGATTATGTTTGGGTCGATACAAATTCAACTTGAACACGAGATAAATAATTATTTATGTCAAGAGCTTCAATTTTAACTCAACTTGTTTATTACACTGGCTGACACAACATAAATAATTTGTTAATTTTGATTTTTAAATAAAAATTATTTAAATAATCCTTAATTAATAAATAAAAATGGAATAGGTAGGAATAAATTTATAATTATGTAATTATTTAATTTAAACTGTTGAATACGAAAATAACACAAACATGAAATCTCTAATACGAACATAACACAATTTTTTCGGGTCACTTATTAGTCGACATGAATACAGTATGAATATGAATATGAATACGAATTGATATGGAAAAAAGTCCATATTATGTTCAGATTGTCTACGCGAATCGTATTTTAAATTGTCGCCCCCTTGCTTACGAAAAAAAAAATTGTCGCCCCCTTAATTTTTAATACAAGAACTTAACATAAACCTATTTTGGAAACTCAGGGGGCGTTTGATTAAGGAGAAATTTTTTGAAAACTAGGGAAATGTAATTACTATGGAAATTGTTGAAAAGTGAGTTTGGTAGGAAAATGTAAAAAAAGTTGTTTGGTTAACCGAAATATTACCAGGAAAATTTATTTAAATTTGCAAAATCTATGTTCGGGAGAAACTTCGCATCTATTTTTTCACTTCCCCAGTTATCTCAAAATACCATATCTCAAGTGGTATTCTGTAATAGTGAATTTCATCCAAAAATCAACACAAAAGTCATTTTCTCATCTATCCTATTTGCCTAGTATTTTTTTCAAAAACCTAAACCAAACATGATATTTTCTAATATCTATTTATACTTTTTCATCAATTCCAAAATAAATCTTCTACCAAATATTACCTTAATGAATGTACGTTATTTCAATAAATAAGACAAGACAGTCAAGAGAGATGATTTTAAGATTTGACGGAAAGGATATCCGAATAGGAACCGAAAGAGAAATGACATATCTATGCCTAAATTTTGTTTGGTATGGACAAGAATGCACTGATAACATATGAAAAGAATTCATTTCTCACTTTTGGTATTAGATCTCGTATTAATAATGGTCCTTGATAACGTAGTCAAAAGCGGATGTCAAAACAAATTTCAAGCTATGTATTTTTTTATGTTAAGAATAAATTATGACAACTTTTTGAGAAGAACTCTTGCTTATGAACAAATATCAATTGAGTTCGATTAGTCTCACAATAATATTTCATGAAAAATCTCAATCGAAGTGAAAAAATATAAAAAATCATAAGACTTTGTTCGGTCCTAGAGAACTATATAATAATATCGTACGGTATACGTTCAGAGATATCCTATAGATATGTATTTTAGTTGATTTATAGTCAATATTCCAATCACTGCGCACAAGCAACAGGCTCACTGCGTATGTGGGTGTATGCACAATGTGAGCAGAAGTAGTAAATGAGTTCAGAATCCGTAAATGAGGGTCTTACGCCTTTTATTTATAGGAGTTACCTCTTGGGCTGTGTAGATTTCACAAAGAGGTGGGACTCACACCTTTATTTTTTTGTCCACTTTTTCTCCCCTATGATTTATCTTGTTCTCTCACTTAAAATGATATAATTTTATCTCCTTCAAAATGACACGCATTTTTCTCTAAAAATTAATCTAATCAAAATAACATTATGGAATTACTAGAGTTTTCACATTACAGTTGCAAAGCCGCCCATGAGCATCAACAATTAGCTAAAGGCTAAATGACAGCTTCAGCTTGATTTACAAGCTAAATGGCTCAATCAAACAAAGTGCAAACAACAACGAGGTTACATTGTAATCTTCATTGTGGTTAACAAACCCCCTCTTACCTTCTAACCAGATAACCCGTCTATCTATCTATCTATCTATATATATGTCATCCCTGAAACCCATAAGCACATCTTCCAAACATTGTCTTAGTTTTCCTTAGCCTCAATCTTTGGACCTCATAAATATTCTAATTAACCATGTCTTCCTATACCTTTAGGGCTCGTTTGGTGGACAAGATAAGATAAGGGTATGATATAATACGGGGCTGATAAGGGTATGATATGATATGGAGCTGATAAGCCTATATCATGTCCTGTATTTGATGAGCACCTGATTAACAATCTGATAAGATTATAAAGAAGGAAAAGGGAGGAAGAAAAAACAAAATACAATGCAATAAATACAAATATATTGGATAACGTGGGGATATATTAGGTAGCGTGAGAATATATTGGGTATCCAATATTAATATCTTATCATGTTGAATCCTAACCCAGCTCTCCCCGTAGAATAAGAAATCATGTATTAGATAGGATAAAATGAGACAATATGATAAGCTAATCATATCCTATTGACCCACCAAACAAGAGATAAAAGTAAGATATGAGCATGAGAATTCCCTGCTCTCATTGGACAGAGTGTGTCTTATGCTGTCCTTGAATTCCCTCCTAGTAGCGTCAACCCACCCCACACACACCCTCGCTATGCAGAGTTACTCTTAGTTGCTCAGCGTGCCCTTCAAGTTGGGTTTGTGAACACAACCAATAAATTTTTCACACAGAATGTTCAAGCTGGTGACTTGTTCATATTCCTAAAGGGTCTTGTGCACTTCCAACATAACGCTGACACTAAGATTCCTGCTCTCGCTATATCAGCCTTTGGCAGTGCCAATGCTGGAACAATATCACTTCCCAACACACTGTTCAAGGCTTTGCTCCCTAGGCCTGATGTTGGGTAGAACTTAAAAGTTCAATATTCGTGCCTGTTCTGTTTCATGTGATTTTCTATTCTGTTACTTTTATTATTTTCGTACCTTTTTTTTTGTCGTCATTTTGGAGCTCAATAAGTGCTTCTGTGTAAGGACCTAAGACGCGCATTGTTTGAAATGTCTGTTGCAATAATTGTAATGATCGAAATTAAACTCATCAAGAACATTGGTGATTTTCCCATCTTTGGTTTGCTGTGGCTTCTTTCTTCCTGAAATTCCATTAAAAAATAGTAAGATTAGAAAATAGTAAAGGAGAATAGGCTAGATATACTGAGGAATAGTACGCTGTCTCTTCTTGTATAAAACTATAGTACTACACCAACTAAAATATGGAGTTCCTTTGTACCCAAAAAAAAATAAAAAAATATGGAGTTCCATTTTAAATTAAAGAAAAGATGTTTCGGACCACAAAGCACGTGCTTGATTGTGACGAAGTTGGAGCAATTAAGTGCTGGAGATTAAAAAGTCTACAAATAGAGGATCTTAAGATGTCTGAAAACCTTTTTTCCTTGCCTTTGTAGAGGTCGCTCTCTTTCATGGTTGCTGAGAAATTGTGTTGTTCTTGAGATCGTGAAGACTATGATTCTTATCGTAAATGTGCAGATGTTCTTGTATAACTAATTGAGAGTTTTCTTGTTTGTATTATACTCTCATCTTTTGTATCGATTCTTGTAGGAAGTGAGGATCAAGAGATCTCCTCTCGAGCTTTTCCAATCTTTTTTTCCCTCTCCATTATGGCTTTATCTTTCCTTTGAATTAACAGATGATTGAACTCATTGGACCTTTGTTATGGTTTGGTTTCTTTTAATTCAGTATTCACTTTTCCTATGTTAATGTAATGTTACTCTAGTCTTAACGTGTTTATGGATTGACCACCTATATATATCAACTTCAAGGGGTATTTTCACTATATTCTCCTCACAACAATTGCTACAAGGGAATATAAACAGGCTAAAAAATCGTAAACCACAACAACTATTCATGAAAAACCACCAAAAGAAAGGCAAGGCCTCTACAGGTACAAAAGTGTTGTCCCATACACCCTCACTAGGGCAATCCTCGTCTGCTTAGTGTGGAGTGAGACCATGCGTATGTCGAGGGACATGTGTCATCAATCAAGTGCAAAATATGAACCATATCTAACATTTTTCCACTTGACGAAATCTTGGTACGTGATAAACCTTTAGTTTATCTTGTTTTATAGACTAAAATTACATGAATTATCAAATTAAAGGAGTGAAAATTAGGGTTTATTGACATAAAAACATGAATTTATGAATTATGGATTAAATTATATATATTTGCTTATTTTGAAAGTATTTGATGATAATTGGAAGCAAATATGAAGATTGGAGAGATAGAAATCAAGAATTAAAGATATGAAGATCTTATTTGAAGAAAAAGAAAGAAAATCAAATTCTTTTTTTTTTTTAAAATATTCCAATCGGTTCATCGCTTCGCAACTAATCCGATTCGGGGCGGGTCCAGGATTAAGGCTTTAAACCCCTCCCAAAGGTGGTACTGGGAGGATTCGAACACATGCTCTCTCCCCACCTGCTCAGCTCCCATGCGCCAACTGAGCTACCACCATTTGGTAGAAAATCAAATTCTTGAAGAGGAGGCTTAAGCCTCCAATCTGGGGCTTAAGCCTCCAAATACTCCAAAAGTTGTAAAAGCCATTGCCTAAGGGCGCTTAAGACCCCAAATTCAGGTTTAAGCGCGCTACAAAGGAGAACTTCTGATTCGAAGTGGGCGCTCAAGCCCCCAGATTCAAGCTTAAGCGCGCCACGTGAAAACTGCATGCGTTATCTTGGAGGCTTAAGCCCCCAAATTCAGGCTTAAGCGCCCTGAATGAACCAACTTAGGCTCATTCAAGGTATCCACCTAGGGCACAGATTCTTTGCACATAAAAACACAATTTGGGGCAAAATTACACGGTTTTTCATATTCTTTGACAATTCTTGGCACTTGGAGGCAGAGGGAAAGCGGAGGAAACACCAGTTCATGTTGTGAGAGACGGAGACGAATCGGAATCAAGCTTGCACTGGAGATATTGAAGATTCACCATTCAACTATGGAGTTTGGGGAAGCTTTTCTATTTTCTTTCTTTCTTTCTTGATTTCACCATGTCCGACTAAGTTTTCATAGTAGTTAGGGTTAGATGGAACTCAATTAAACTGTTATATTTTGAATAATTCTTGATGTTGATTTTCCTTTTTATCATGAATGAAATTGTCTTTTCTTAATGCTTTCTATGAGCTTGAATCTTGTAGATTGATCTTAGGTAAATTTATGACAATAGGAACATTGGTGCATGATCCGGATCTGACAATTTCATCGTAATGCTTATGATTCTAGGGATAGACATAGGATTTTGCGCAATCTTGTGATTCTTGAACTTAATGCTTATCTTCTTGGGAAATGATCGGGGAACTAGGGTTCTTGTAAAATTGTAAAGATTTAGGATGTCAAGGGATTGAGTCCTAATTTAATTAAAAGAATCGACTGAATTGATATTAAGGACAATTAACATAAAGAAGGAACTCAAACATAATAGAGAGATTGAGGAAAATCGAAGCCCTAGCTACGTTTATTTTCGATTAATTAATCAAATCTTTAAATTATTGTTTTTTTATTCTTGCTCTTAAGTAGTTTTAATATTTTAATTTTTAAATCAATTCTTGATCCAAATCCAATTTCAATTGTCCAACTTAAGTTAACGTAGTGAATTAGTGCTTGAATTATAATCCTCATGGGAACGATCTCTAACTTAATCATTATATTACTTGTATGACCGATGCACTTGCCGAAGTCGCAACAAGTTTTTGGCGCCGTTGCTGGGGATTATTACTTCAACATTAATAGTAGCTATAGATTCTTTAGATTGGACCTTATTTTCTGCTATTTAATTTTTTTGTTATTTCAATTCAGTTTTTATTTTTTATTTCTATAATCTATTTTTCTGGTTTATGCGAGGCACCGTTGTAATCGATTCCTTACAATTCGACCCAGAGATAGAGAAAACATAAAAAAGGAAATAGAAAGATCACTAAAGAAAGAAGGCAAAAAGAGAAAGAAGCTTCAAGCTCGATAGAACCGAAAGGAGAAGCTATGGCGGATAACGATCAACTCCCACCTATTCAGAGGACGTTGGGATATTACATGACTCCTGCCCGAGTTTCGCAAACGGCAAGTATTGTTAGGCCAAACGTGGATGCTAACAGTTTTGAGCTTAAGCCAGCACTACTGCAATTGATTCAAAAAGACCAGTTCGCCGGAGGAAGCACAGAAGACCCTTACATTCATCTCGAGAATTTTTTTCTTTTTTGTGACACCTTAAAGATGAATGGAGTCTCTCGTGACGCTATCTTACTCAGGCTCTTCCTATGCTCACTGAAGGAAGAAGCAAGAGGTTGTTGCAATCACTTCCTTAAGGAAGCATCACCAACTGGGATGACTTGGTGTTGCGTAAAATCGGCAAGTGTACCGATCGTACTAAGTAATAAAATGATGAGTAGAGTATCGTCTTCACGAGGATTGAGGCACCAAAGTTATTATAACTATTCCTCTCTTGTTGGATTAATAAAATGGTTTTAAAAACAATTATGGTTTGTGAAATATGAGAACAATTCAAGAAAATGTAAACAATTCAAAGGTTCTTTAGAAACTCAAGAACACAAGATTAAAGGTTGAGAAAATATTTGAGAAAATACTGCGGTAAAGAGACACCAACACCTTTATGATCCCCACCTTGTAACTTGAATTAACATTTACATTCAATTATGCAATTGATCAAACGATTCATTATCTTTTATTTAATTGGTTAAGCCTTAATTCCTTAATGATCTTAACCTTATCAACCCTATTAGAATTCTAATCCCTTAGAAATCCCCTTTTAAGTTGAGCCTTCGAATCAATGAATCTTTCACGTTTGCGGTTCATGTAGCCTATCTCTAGTGCATACATGAACAATTATCTTACCTCTTGTCAGGAGTTAGAATTCTAATATTCCTATTGAGAACCCTAACCCTCGCAATCCTAAAAGAGTGATCAGTTCTAGAAGAATTATAAGATAAAGAACAAGGTAAAATAAACTCAATTAACATAGATGAATATAAATTTAACCAAACTACAAGGGGTTCACATCAAGGGTTGTGACCCTTACCACAATAATAAAACTAGCCAGACATGTTTATGTCTGACAACATAATCATAAAAGAAAATAAAATTAAGAACCTAAAGAAGAGAAAGAAGATGAAGATCTTCCGTCTTGATCGCTCGAATCTTCGAAACTCCAAGAAGCTCCCAAGAATTCTCCCTCTCTTTGTTGTTTATCTCTTCCTTGTTGTCAAAAAGTTCTCTCTTCCTCTTTTTTTGATCCTTTTATTAGGTTTTGGGAAAACCTCCTTTCAATTGCTCTCAAATTGGGCCTCTTTTTTGAGTAATTTGCATCAGATTAAAGTTAAAAAGTATCGCCCATGCACTTTGCGCCAAGTCTGGCACACTTTGCATGAGAAAACAGAACTGAAGTTGTCAAACGGCGCACCGTGCGCCAGGTCCCGTGCACCGTGCGCCAGGATACAGGGACGATTTGCATAAAATGGCGCACCGTGCGCTAGCTGGAAAATTGAACTTCTCTCTTTTGCTTCCTTTTGTGGCTTTTCCTGCTATTAAAACACATAATCTGAGTGAGAGAATGATTGAGAAGGAATAATCAATATTTCTTGCATTTATGACTTATTTTCACACATTTATGATTAATTCCTTGCTTCTTTTAAGTTAGAAAGCATCATATGCTAGACACACATCACTTGGCAACCAAATTTTTACCTCGATTTTTTTCATCTTCAAAGATGGCAAAGCTCAAGGCGGATATCACTTCTTTTGAACAAAAAGAAAGTGAATTTTTATATGAAGCATGGGAAAAGTTCAAAGGACTACTCAGGAAGTGTCCACAACATGGTTTTGAAGCCTGGGAAAAAGGGAGAATTTTCTTCCAAGGGATGACGCCTAATACAAGAATCTTGGTGAATGCTGCATCAGGAGGATCTTTGAAAACGAAAACTCCCGAGGAAACATTAGAATTGTTTGAATCTCTAGCTTCTCAGGAGTTCGATAATGCTCCAGTATCACAGAGGAGAGCGGGGATCATGAAGCTTGATAGTTATGATGCATTGTTGGCACAAAATGAGCAAATATTACAAATGAACAAGAAGCAGCAGCAACAGTTAGATGCCCTCACAAAGCAGTTCACAAACTTTCAAGTCTCTTCTGTCAAGACTCCTCCAGTTAGTTGTGGACTTTGTGCAACTACTCATGGTACAGAAGAATGTGATTTAATGAGAGCACCTGAAACTGCTGAAGTCAACGGACTCTGGTATGATCAAAAGAACCAGAGTAATCCTGGGAAGAACCAGTATAGGAATGACTACAATCAAGGGTGGAAGAATCAGAATCAGCATCCAAGATTTAATTACAAGTCCAATCATCAACTTAACCTTCCCTTTCTAGAGTAACCACATCCCCCACAACAAAGTAACACTTCTGAGTGGGAGAAAGCTTTTGCACAACTATCCAAGACCACTTCTGATTACATACAACGTGCAAATACTTTCAGAGATGACACATATGCTTTCATGCAAGAAACTAGATCAGCACTCCGGAATCAAGAAGCTTCCATAAGAAATCTGGAAACTTAGATTGGCCAGTTGTCAAGGTAATTTGCTGAGAAAGCCAAGGGCACCTTCCCGGGAGACATTGTCATTAATCCTAGAGAGCATTGCAATGCAATTATCACAAGAAGTGGGACAATGATACAACTTATAGAGAAGCAACCTGAAGAGAATGAGAGAGATGTGGAGGCATCGGTTGAAGAAAAGAATAAAGAAAAGGCAAATGATACTATTGAAGTTGACAAGAGAAATCCTGAAAAAGTTGAAAGGAAACTATTTAAGTGGGAGAAGAAGAAATCTTTAGAAAGGCAAGACAAGCCTTTGGATCTCTCCCCATATGCTCGAATCCCTTATCCTCAGAGATTAAAGAAAGAGATTCTGAAGCAGCAGTATTCAAAGTTTCTAGACATATTCAGGAGGTTGCAGATCAACATTCCTTTTGCCGAAGCTTTAGAGAACATGCCCAACTATGCAAGGTTCATGAAGGATCTATTATCAAGGAAGCATAAGTTGCAGGAATGTGAGACGATGAATCCGACGGAGGAATGTAATGCTATCATCCAAAAGAAGTTACCCACCAAAGTTAAGGATCCAAGGAGCTTCAGCATTCCATGCACTATAGGAAAAGTGGAAGTGGACAACGTTTTATGTGATCTTGGAGCTAGCATCAATGTCATGCCATTCTCCATGATGAAGAAGCTAGGGATTACTGAAGTCAAGCCCACAAGAACAATAGTGCAACTGGTTGACTGCTCTACAAAACAAGCTTATGGAATCATTGAGGATATACTAGTAAAGGTTGACAAGTTCATCATTCCTGTTGATTTTGTCATCCTTGATATTGAGGAAGATACCACAATTCTAATGATCTTTTGAAGAGTCTTCTTGGCAACCTCAGGAGCACTGATTGATGTACTTAAAGGTGAGCTGATCTTAAGGGTAGACGAAGAGCAAGCAATTTTCAAGTTCTTTGACAAAGAAGTCCCCTCACCTATAGCTCAACCGGAAGATCAAGTTTACTATATCAGTGAAAAGAAAGGAGGAGGAGAGAACAAAGAGAATTCTCCTCAAGAAAGTAAGCCAAAGGTTAAAATAGAGAAGCCTAAGAGCAAGGGAAAGCACATAAAAGCCAAGTTTAGAGTTCCTGAGGATACTTTATCTCATCTATATGAACAGGAACATTATGGAGGGACACAACTTTTTAATGAGAGGGCTTGGTCATCCCTAAACCAATGCTTTGAGCCACCATGATCGCAAGTCAGGTACGTCAGGCTCGTGACGTAAAACAAGTGCTTATGGGAGGCAACCCAACAATTTATAGTTTTCATTATGTTACTTCTAGTTATTTTATTTGTTTTTATTGTTAGTCAAATAAAAATACAAAAGTTTAAGCATTGAGACTAATAATCAATTTGTCTTGAGATGAATTTGGCAGGTAAGTCTAAGAATGTTGGCATAAGAAGACTTTAGAAAATAGAGAAGAGTTGTGAAGAATTTTTTTTGTTTAGGCGGCTTAAGCCCCCTAAAATCCTGTAAGAAACATTTATTCTCTGCCCCAGAGTGCTTAAGCTCTCAAAAAGAGGCTTAAGCGCGTTTCAAAATAAATAGTCTCCATTTGCAGTGCGCATTTAAACGCCCAGAACGGGGATTAAGCGCAGTAATGTTAAAAAAAGAGCATCACTCTCTTCCTGAGCGTGCTTAAGCCGCGCAATAGAGCTTAAGCGCTCTCCGTCAAACTACATTTTTTAATTTCCTTGTTCTTTTTCTTTTTATATTTCCATCAGTGCTTTAATTTTTGTTCTTTACGTTTATTTTCTTTTATTTTTATTTTTATTTCATGATGATACGTGATGTATATTAAGAATGTTCCCGACAATTTTGGGATATTATGATATTCTGACCAGTAGTGTTATGATCTGTGATATGTTTCAGAGTACGATTATTTTTCTGATTTCTCGCTAAGGATTATTTTTAGATTTAAATTATTTGCTGAAGACAACAATATTTAAATTTGGGAATGGGTACCACGCGATCCATCAGACCACAAACTTCACTTGGTAGGAAGAAAATCATGATTATACAAAGAATATCCAACTATACAGGGAGCTTTCTCAATTTGCCTTTTCGTATTATTTATATTAATGTTTAATTTTATTTTATATTATTTTCTCTTAAAAAAAATTATTAGAATTTTAGTTTAGTTTTAAATCCCCATCCATCCTCAATCACTAAATTTTGGTGATTTTTTTTTTAAATTTCCATTGTGCTTGATATATATGCATAAATGAATAATTATAGGAGATTGTTTATTTCTGAGATTAGGAGTATGATGATGTAAACCCTATTTTCATACATAAATGAGCGTCAGTCAAACATGCTTAATAATTCACTAGAATAAGAGAAAAATAACTGAAGTGATTAGATAAAGAGTGGAAGATGAGTCTTACACCCTTAGCTGTGAGCTTTTGAGCCTAAACAGAGAATTTTTTTTGGTGCACTTTACTGTTTGAATCACTCTAGAACTTGTTTTGTTTTTGCTTGAAATGATCTGTGGTATGCATTTGTTGAAATGATAGAGGCAGTTCTTTCTGAAAAGCTAGAAAGCCAAATAGCCACCCTTGATATTTATCCTTCGATGAAGCCCCTTGAGCCTAGGCCTGTTTGTTCATTGACAGCTTATTGTAAATAGCCACTCCATACACATCCTCACCCGAACTAATTGAAATTCAAATTTAAATGAGGAACTGAGCATAATTGAAACAAAAATAGAAAAAGCAAACTCTAGTGTATGGAAGAAAAGTGAAAAGAGGAAAAAGCCAAAAAAAAATGGTGGAATAATGAAATGAAAAGAAAAAGGTTGAAATGTGTATCTATACAGAAAAAGAAAAAGAAAAAGGAAAGGAAAGAAAAGACTCATGTTATATGAGTAAGTGAAAAAAAGAAAAGAGGAGGAAGCAAATAAGAATATATGTTTGCTATGTGTTGAAAAGTTATATTAGTTCCTCTTTGAAATTGAATTTTGATCAGTAACTCACTTACCCAGATAATTCCTTCCTTCTACCTAAGCCACATTACAACCTTAACAAAGACTTGTATAATTTGATAATGCCATGTGAATCGCTAGAAACATGTGAAGTGTATGGCTAACCCAATAACGAAAGTTTTGTTGAAAAAGTCAATTTATAAGACAGTGAATGTAACTGAAGCGCTTGCATGCGTGTTCTTCTAATCTTTAATCTAGATAGATTTGCTATATAGCTTTATATGCCTGAGTTTGACTCTTGTGGTACCTAAAGGTCAAAATTAAACTTGATTGACTTTGTATACCAATTAGACTGTGGAGAGTGAGAATATAAACAAGCCTATGGTAGTGTTAATTCAGTGAAGCAAGAGTGAAACACATACTCTCAGACACTTGAGTGTGAGTGAATAAAAGAAAATCCCAGTGAGAGGGTGTTGTGGATTTAAATTATACTACTCTTTATCTTGAGAACTCGTGTTATGATTTTATGACTAGTGAGTTGTGAACGTTTGCATGAGATTGATGTGACATTGATTTTTATAAAGTCTGAATACTCTGATATCTTACGGTTAATCAGTCTCTTGCTGATAATTCATTAAGCATGATCAGCCATCTCCATTTCCCATAGTTTTATTCTAGTTAATTGCCGAGGACAACAATCTTCAAATCTGGGAATTGTTTGATAAACCTTTAGTTTATCTTGTTTTATAAACTAAAATTACATGAATTATCAAGTTAAATGAGTGAAAACTAGGGTTTATTGACATAAAAACATGAATTTATGAATTAAATAATATATATTTGCTTATTTTGAAGGTATTTGATGATAATTGGAAGCAAATATGAAGATTGGAGAGATGAAGATCAAGAATTGAAGATATGAAGATCTTATTTGAAGAAAAAGAAAGAAAATCAAATTCTTGAAGAGGAGGCTTAAGCCTCCAATCTAGGGCTTAAGCCCCCAAATACTCTAAAAATTGCAAAAAGCCACTGTCTGAGGGTGCTTAAGCCCTCAAATTCAGGCTTAAGCGTGCCACGTGAAAACTGCATGTGTAATCTTGGAGGCTTATTAAGCCCCCAAATTCAGGCTTAAGCGCCCCGAATGAACCAACTTAGGCCCATTCTAGGTATCCACCTAGGGCACGATTTCTTTGCCCATAAAAATACAATTTGGGGCAAAATTACATAGTTTTCATATTCTTTGACAATTCTTGGAACTTGGAGGCAGAGGGAAAGTGGAGGAAACACCAGTTCATGTTCGTGAGAGGCGGAGACGGATGGGGATATTGAAGATATTGAAGATTCGCCATTCAACTATGGAGTTTGGGGAAGCTTTTCTATTTTCTTTCTTTCTTGATTTCACCATGTCCGGCTAAGTTTTCATAGTAGTCAGGGTTAGATGGAACTCAATTAATCTGTTATGTTTTGAATAATTCTCGATGTTAATTTTTCTTTTTATCATGAATGAAATTGTATTTTCTCAATACTTTCTATGAGCTTGAATCTTGTAGATTGATCTTAGATAAATGTATGACAATAGGAATGTTGGTGCATGATCTGTATCTGACATTTTCATCGTAATCCTTATGATTCTAGGGATAGACATAGGGTTTTGCGCAATCTTGTGATTCTTGAACTTAATGCTTATCTTCTTGGAGAATAACCGGAGAACTAGGGTTCTTGCAAGATTGTAAAGATCTAGGATGTTAAGGGATGGAGTCCTAATTAAATTAAAAGAATCTACTGAATTGATATTAAGGACGATTAACTTAAAGAAGGAACTCAAACATAATAGAGAGATTGAGGGAAATATCGAAGCCCCAGCTACATTTATTTTCTATTAATTAATCAAATCTTTAAATTCTTTTATTTTATTCTTGCTCTTAAGTAGTTTTAATATTTTAATTTTTAAATCAATTCTTGATCCAAATCCAGTTTCGATTGTCCAATTTAAGTTAACGTGGTGAATTAGTGCTTGAATTATAATCCTCGTGGGAACGATCTCTTACTTAATCATTATATTACTTATACGACCGGTGCAATTGCCGTGAGCGCAATAGTACGCTTCTTCAAACCCAAGACAATTCTACATCATTAGTAGATCTTCTAGTATCAATGTCACGTCCCTAGTCAATATCAACCTAGCAGTCTAGCTATAATGGTGGTTGTCCCTTTAATCTATCATGACTTCGTATCAGAACTCAACATCCACAAAACATTCTAGCTCTAATAGTGATTATATAAATTTTTCCTGTTTGCTATGTCTTAATTAAATTAATGTATTTTTAAAATAAAAACAATTTGTACACATTAAAATATTTGCATTTTACTCGTTCGGAATAAAAAAATAAAACGTATGTTAAAATGTGTATTTTAATTATATTATTATTTAGAAAAAGTGATACACAAATAATGTTGGGTCACATACCTTGTCTAGTTTTGATGATAACAAACAAGTGAACCGAAATTATCTAACATTATGTTTAGTTTTTGAAAGGTTGTTGCATAACCTAATTTGTGATGAATTATGAAGAAGTGAATGCCATATAATTGCCATGAAATCGTAAAGATCAAAGTTGCAAGATAAAATCTTTGATTTCATGTACTGGTTGCATGAGGTGAATCCTGATTATGTCTTGGGATATATTATCTTCAAATTTTGAAAACTAAGGAAGCAAGATAAAAAAAAGTTTTATTTTTAATCTAAATAAATTTAAAATATTTGAAAAAAAATGTTAATTTGAGATTAAATTCCTTTTTGAAATATTTGATTCTGTTTTATTAAATTTTGAAAAGTTAATTTTTGAAAAATTAATTTGAAAATTTTGATTCTATTTTTAAAAAGAATTTTTGAATTAGAACAAATTTATCCAAAAATTTAGAAAATTTTCCTTAGTATTTGATTTTGAGAAAAATTTATAAAAATCATACTTTGAGTCTTTTTTCAATGTGTAGGTGATCCATTCAAGAGAAAGTGCACATCGCACGTACTATGAATATTTCTTCTCAAGACACATTCACAAAATAATAAGGCATGAATAGGTTCATTGAGCCCACCACTTAGGTAAGGTAACTCTTAATTTATTTTTTATTTTCTTTTAGCTATTACTAGAGTGGGCAATAAGGGAGAAATTATCCAATGATAATTGAGATTTTATTCTTTTGACTTAGAGTTAAGGTAATAGAGTGCTTAGCTATTCTAGGAGTTGGCAATAAGAGAGCATTTATC